GCCACATATCCGTCATCGGTGAACGATAAAGCAGCGTCTGTGGCCCAAAACTCCCCGTGAACATCGAGATAATCCAGCTTCGACGTGACGAAAGGCATTTGCCAAGTCAGGGATCGGCACAGCGCGCGCCAAAAGTCATAAGCCTTGGGCTCCTTGGCCCGAAGAACCTCCTGGCCATGCGACGAATTTAACCAAAACTCGAGAACATAAGCATCTTCCGCCAGCACTCGTCCGACAGTTCTGGTGCAGTTCATGCTAAGCAGGTCCACACCTCGCCAAGCGGTCCTAGCAACATCGAGCGAAGTGGCCGAAACTGCCATCACTGCATTGCCCGATGCCGTGGCAATTTGAGTGCCGGAAGAAATTAACTGCGAAACGGCATTGGCAGCACTCTCCCCAACGAGTGCCGTAGAACTCAACATACGCCCGACAGGCTCCAAAATAACAGAGCCTTTCCCACCAAACATGAAATAAAGAGCCAAACTCCACATCACTCCGTGCCGCGACCAGTGGATCAGCTTCCAAACCCCTTTGCAAGTGCACCTACGTTTCTGCACGACAGGTGCCCGAGCGCGCCGTTTTGGATTAGGGTCTGCGCCGACAGGGACACCACGGCCAAAAACTGTGGCGTCCCAGCGAGGTCGGGCTTCTGGTGAGGCGGGATGTTGAAGATGAGCCGTGGGCGGAGGCGTTGAAACTCTGTGTCGAGACTCGTCGCTGCGCGAAGGATGTGGTCTGGATGGAGATGGGGAATGCTCGTCGCGATACTGCATGCTTGTACCCTGGCGTGGTGGACTCATCCGACTCAAAGTTGAAGCAACCTAGTGGGAAATGCTTCCGAAGTTGCTCCACCGCCTGCCGGATGTCAGAGTCCAGAGCTCGTGCACAGTATGTGACTTCCACCTCAAGCGCAGTGACAACATCAATGTACACTTGAAAACTCGTCTCAGATTGCCACCTTCCCAAACGGCGAGTGACGGTGGGGTCCAGACCTTGAATGGTCCTGCACGTCCGGAGTGAGGCGTGAATCGGACACCGAGTGGGGCACAAAAGTGAGCCAAAATGTGCCTATACTGACTGTAACTGCATGGGAACAACCGCTCTTCGCCCGGAGTTGCTCGCAATAAGCGCAAAAACAGCTTTGAAATGTCCACATCTTTGTCCCAGTCCAGAAACGTCACTTGTTCGCGCTGCACCTTCGTTCCCACATTTGCCCCCAATCGCAGCACAAAGCGTCGTATTGCTGCCGTGGGCCCCATGACATGAGCATCTCACAAGGACGCAATCCAGTGGCAACTTGAACTAACATACCCACCGCAATACGAAACAATTTGACTCTTGCCATGCACATTGCCATGTACTTCGCGACTTGGGATGTGAGAGGTACTGCATGTTGCACTGGAGTTTGCTTGACAAGACCTCGAATAACACGTTTTGAATACCCAAGCTGTCCTTTCAGGCCTGGCGAGAAAAACTCGAGAGCGGCCACGGTCTGTTCGAACTTCGATCTTGTCAGCTTACCGGCCTGACGATAACGCGCTAACCAACTGTCTAGCTCCGCAACTGTTCCTGGTGATGCATGGTCTGAATGTAGAAAGGAATCAAACTTGTGTACAGCCCGCCGATAACGATCCAAGGTGTCTTTTGTCACGGACCTTTCATGCAACGGGTCAAGCCTGGCAGGTCCATCGGCCTTCGTGGAACAGAGCGTCCGGAAGTCGGCAAAAAGGCTTACTACGTTTCAGTTGTGGGGATCCCTGAGTCCATCTAAGCTGCCGTCGAGGTTGCTTATTGTGAGCCCTGGAGCCTCTCCGACGTGAAGCAAAGACTGTCTCTCACTGTTGTTGATTTTCGTCATGACAATTCCATAACCCCCACAATCAATGTCATCAGCCCCCATTGCGTCGGTTGCGAACAAGACATCGCTGAACTGCAAACGCCCCTCATACTCCATGAATGTGACTGCCCTCGCCATACAAATAAGTTCATCACGTACGGACGGCCACTGTCTGACGAACTGCCCCTCGCAAATCTCCATCATGCGGTACACTACGAAAGGGATGGAATACAAATCCCTCCGGAGTTGTGCCCCAAAGGACCATACCCCAAGCACGGCACGAAGTACATCCACATCGACCCAACGAGCATGAGCAAGTTCCAGAAGAGCGCGCTCTAGCAACCGTGCTCGTTTCACTGGCAAGGTAAAGGTGCCCGTGTCCATGTCCAAACGAAACCCCACCACCTTTTCCACCTCCTTACCATGTCTGCGATCTGGCACTCGAAATCCGGCTGCCTCCATGTTCTGAGAGATTTCATCTATTAGTGGCCTTGCCAAATCCGCGCAAGCACCGTTTCCCAACACCAGCGTGTCATCTACATGCAAATACACTGCCATTTGAAAACTGCTCAATTCAACTCGTGACTGTTCCTCTGCCGCCTCGTTCAAGATCTTCAGGCTCACTCCCTTGTCGTTTCGACTCAGCGACCAAACAGTAAAAGGTGCAGTATTGGCAGAATAGCTTGGCCCATGGCCTTCCATCTGCTCCGTCTGATGTGGAAGGCCTTGCAATTCGACGTGTGTATCCAACACGTCTCGCTGCTGTGACCCTGGCTCTTTGTCCTCCTCACCTCCAGAGGAAGCACGTAAAGCTCGATCACCTGGTGCAAGAAGCGTGCTCGAACGCAGCGTCATCCCTATTATTCGCATGTTAATGGACATCAATATGTGAACGGAGTGCGAGCATCCCATCGGCAGCCTCATGTAGCACGGGCAGACCCATGTATGCTCTTCGACGGTGTCCTGCACTTCACGTGGCAATAACGTCCAAACAGCCTTTGCTGGTACAGGGGGTGTCGCTTGGTACTCATGAAACCAAGGGGGAACCATAACACTTGTGAAAGCATTGGATTGGTCGCAAACAGCTGCTGAAACTTTCTCCTCTGAGAAATGCACACGGGACAACGCTCCTGCACCGGCCATTCCAAGCCGGGAGCGCTGCTCCACATTTGTCAGCAAATAATTGAAAGAACAGGACATCAAGAGTTTGCGCTGGGAACTGCCGTCTTTTTTTTTTTTTGCAACCGTCTCCACACGCGCGGTCCCCGTGCACACACGGCC